TTTAACGAATTGGTAGGTAATCTATTTGATCGATTATTTCAAAAGCTAAGTAAGGTGTAAGTATATAATTTGAATAAATTTGAATAAAACATTTGATTGTAAAAACAAACAATCTTTTCATAAAGCAGAAGACTATCTGCATGTAAGAAATGTACCCGTGCGTATTTAATGTTTATAATGGGTGTTCTATTGAAGAATCTTTAAAATTCTTATACCATACAGCATGTAACAGGTTATATTTCTGCCAAATGGATGTTATAAGAACAGACATGTCGTTTGTATCAAATGAAATTTTAACACCTTCTCTAAGTGATTTTTCAATTGAACACCCGTTATTCTTATACAAAGAAACAAGTATTTAGTATAAATAAATAACTTGGGCAAATATGATTTCAAAACACTCGCTGATTATAGTGGTTTGCGTCTCTACGTAAAACTTTTTCCAAGCCTTGGTCTCGTTTTCGGGAAATTAAATTATAATGGTAACAAGTTGAAACTTCTCTAACTGTATTTCAGATTTTAATTTTAACTTACTGCGACGAATCAAATTACCATGCAAACCAAAAAATTCTAATTATCTTCTTGTTTACAAAGATTCTAAATATAATTTCGTTTTTCAATTAAGTCGACGTACTTCAGTCCTAACAATCTTATGCACGCAAATATTGAGAGGCAGGAGTAACTTCATTATACCTCTGAAAATTAAAATTTTCGACATTACTTTCAGTCATTCCGAAATATTAAAAAGCAAACAATTTATTATCAGATGAATTCAGAAAATCGATATTTTAGTCGCCAACACCAGACGAAAATTTAAATGCCTCAGTTTAATAAACGACGAAGCGTTTATTGAAAGTTTAATTTTCGGAATTATATTTCGTGTGTGGTTAAAAGACCAATAAATGAACGTTTGCCAATTAGCACGTTCAAAGAATATCTTTCTGAAAGTTATAAATTTTATTCAGTTAACAGATCTTTAACAAGAATACATTACTTTTTTAGACGGTTCGTAAAATGAACTTATGTGAAAGCAGTCTGCTTTAAAACCTTATGAATGTGCGAATTTGAAGCACTATTGTTTCGTTATTCCATAGTTACAACTCGTCTTAAATATTAATAAAAAAATTAAACCTGTGCTTAATTTTAAAAAATATTATTAATTGTATAAAAACAAATCATTAAGTTAAACGAACAATAGAAACAATAGTTTTAACAGAACCGCAGTATCTAGTAAAAAAATTATTTTATTCTGTCCATTTCAATTCCGTTTCATTTCAGCAAGTTTACTATAAATAAAATAAACAAAAATAGAACATAAATCTATCCTTTTCCTAAGTGACATTTTCGTATTCGGTACACTAAAACAAGGGAAAGAAACACAGTTCATGTGTGTAAATTTTCCCTCTGATGGAAAGCAAAATTTTGTCGTCAATAAATAATAAGAAGAATACATAAATAATTTAGTTTACTTTGCGAGCACGAGCGTAACCCTGTTGCTGCGTTGGCTACTTTATTTTTCAGGTACATTCGTATTTTGTGTTGACCTTTGTCCAAGTTCTTATATCCAAAAGTGTATTTAAATCAAATACTGAAGTTCGCTTACTAGTAGTGTTATCATAATTATCATTAACAAATAACATTATTACTTCGTTAATTTCAATCTAATTACTCACATTGTTTAGATTGATGTCACTAAAAATTAAAAAACGACTGTACTAAAAATCAATATAATATAGATCTACTAGACTTCAAATATGTCATGAGCTTATGATTATATAGATCATAGTATACAGGGTGACTGCGAAATAAGTGCAAATATTTTAACCACGGCATCCCCCACCCTAGTAGAGCCGAAATATAGAAAAAAGAAATTAAAAATCGAATGGGGCAAAACCCCCATGAACCACCCTCGATACGAAGGCACTGAGCCACCTTGTAAACAGAGTTGGAAAAACGTTCGAATAAAAACGACCTAAACACTTTCAGTTTCAATTAAAAGTAAAACCGACTTTTTGCTGCTTATCATTCGTTCATTCATTTACTCATTCATCGTTAAAGGTCAGTGTGAAAGTTTTTTGATAATTTTGATTCTGACGGATGTTTGGTCCTTGTCACAACGATTTTACGTTGTTTATTGGAACAGAAATAAGAGCAACTTAGAATGCTACTACCTTTTTACAAGAAATGTTGAAAATGTTGTCCTTGACTAGCAATACAGGCGTCAGAGCGTCGCAAGAGGTTTGTTGATAGGTAAAAAAACACCGGAGTAGCGGGTGTCACTTTCACTTGTTGAAACTCTTCGATAATTTCTGGACACTGTTGATTTCCACAAACGAACTGTTTCATCCAACTGATACACATTTATCGAAAACCGTCTCTTGAAATCGTACTTGTTGACGACTACGTGGAGTTCCATCGGACAAAAAGTGAGTTACACAACGTGAACAATCAGTGGACTCCAAACCGTGCACTTTGTCAACATGGTATGGATGTGGCCGTATTCTTTTAATGTAGGATGCACTACAAGCTGTGAAAATCCAACTTCTTCTTTCTGTCCTATCACGGCCACGATCGTGAGTTTGAGGTTGAAGGTACCATGATCTCGGAGATGCTGTACCACTGATGCACCCATTACCATATCGACACAATCTGCATGGGAAAACTGCACCATAAACCGATTTCACCGACCGCTCGATGCTAACTGGCCCTTTTCGTGTTTTTCACGTTGCGATTAAAAAAGTGCCTGATAAAGTAACTTTTTTGGTTCTTTAACCGACTCGCTCTGTTCCATTCATTGTAGTAATTATGTAGGTCACAAAACAGTCCAGCGGCGCGTACAACAATTTACATTGAATTTCAAATAATTTTTTCTAGACACTGCTACTACTTAGGACCGTGAATTTTACCCAGTGACATAATCATATTGTGAGCTATTCCCCATTTTTTTTTTTGCATGTATTTCGCAGTCACCTTGTATGTACTGACGCTGTACTATAATTAATTCTACAGTTTATACTCTAGCGGACTAGCTTAAGATTTTAGCATTTTATAATATTATTTCATATAGAAATTCATATAAAGTTTGCCTAAGCACAGTATCTTAATCAAAATCAAAATAAATGAAAAATGCTTTAACTTTTAGAGTAGAAAATACATCATATAATCAATGGGTTAAGTGGAAAATTAACGCTACAAAACACGAGAAAATACATTTTTCTAGCAGTGCTGGCAGCGCATCACAAGTAAAATCTTTACAAAATTAAACTCTTCAGTTTCCACAGTTAACCACAAAATGCAGCAACTGTCGCAGCTAATCTTACATATAACCTCGGAAGCCCCCAGGCAAACATGCTTAACTACTAAGTACTTTAGTTCAACTTTAAAGCATTAAATGTTCTCATGTGTCGTTCTTATGTCAATTTATCACTGCAACAAACGAGGTGCATGCAAGTTTTTTTTAACTTTTTATAATACTTTACTGAGTTATTCGTCTGGCATTGCACTGACCAATTTTATCATAATTTTCTTCTGAGTATTTTTGTGTAGGTTGGACTTGACAGAATTATTTGTTCCAGAATCGTTTGTTCGTTTTGCTGTTGTGCCAAACAAACGCCCATATATTTTATGTCTTTGAATTTTAAATTGGCTTCCACAGTGCAGTTCTATCATAAGTTTAAAACACCTTTTACTGCTGGCAACAACAGTCACAGCACACTCATTTATTAAAAATACAGTGTGTGATTTTAGTTGAAGATATTTCGTGGTTTTATGCAGTGAAAATTTACATATACATAATTACATCCATCTTGAAAAGTTCTCGAATTTAATTTTTTAAACTAACGTTTTTGACGGATAAATTTATATTTTGAAACCAGCCATTTTTGTACAATGACGTCATCAACATTTTTTTTTTAATGGCATAAACATTTGGTAACTTACATAAACATTTTTTTTGACAAATCCTATTAAAGTTGGAGAAACAAAAATTCGATTTATTATTAATACAATTTGAACCGAGATTCTACAGTACAACAACAACAAAACTACCGTAAAGGTTCAGACGGTCAACCACCAACATTTGGTAAATATCGGCACATGTATAAACATGTGCAAATGCACATATGCCAAATCTTCAAAGATTTAAAATACGTACTTAACCTTTCCAATTTTTTGAAGTTTGACTTCAAATCAAAAATTCTAATCTCTTCAGTTTTAAAAATATTTAGCTGTATCTTAGTTGTCAGCCGTTTACAATTAACCAAATTCCAGGTAATTCTATAAATTTTAATAGCATTTCATTTAACATAGCATGATTAACTTTTTACAAAATATTTTATTCACTGTTTCTTTAGAAATTATTTCAAAACATTTGAAAAAAACATTTATAAAATTTTATTACCCTAATTTCGGAATTAGGGGCCTTTGAATCCAAGCAAGTTAACAAGTTAATGCCACTGTAATACCACTGTCATTGTTGTTGAAAAGGTCCTTGAGATGAATGTGTACTTTATGGGATTCAACCTAATGAAAATCGATCGACTAATTTATGAGAACAACAAAGCTTTACGATGCATCCCTCTTTTCCAAGTTCTTCACCATCTGTCAGTATACAATTAGGAGTTTTTGATAATCTTAAAACTGCTGTTTCGCATTTGAATTGCAAATTCATATGATAACAAATTCATGTTTCAGTAAATTACTACATTAATGCAATACAATATAGCTCCACTGTAAAAATCAATATTATTTTAATTTACTAAAGCCAACACCACAGTCTTCCAATAATCCTTTATGACTATAGCTCTCTTGTATCGTTTGAATTCAATCCAGCTTTGTCTGATGTTTGCATTTTTATACCTCTTTAGATCTTATAAGCTTGAGAAAATCAAGTAATTTTGCAACTAATATTAATACTCAGGATAGTCCCCTGCTTTGCTTACATCCCCAGCATGAATCAGAAAGTAAAATATGGTTGTTAATTACATGTTGTTTTGTTACAGCGAAACTGGATGGTGTGAAAACGTATATGAGAATGCGCAGAGTACCAAACCATTTACAGGTGAAAGTGATTAAATGGTTTGATTATCTATGGCTCACCCAAAAGTGTTCAGATGAAGAAAGAGCCGTATCGTGTCTTCCAGATAAGCTTAAAGCTGAAATAGCAATCAACGTTCATCTAGATACACTTAAGCGTGTGGAGATTTTTCAGAACACGGAAGCCGGATTCCTTTGCGAATTAGTGCTGAGGTTGAGGCCGGTCCTGTTCTCCCCCGGGGATTACATCTGCAGAAAAGGTAAATGCATAAAAAATAAGATCCGTTCATGTGGTGATTTTATACTACAGTATATCTCAATATTTCATCTAACGTAGTAATCTATCAAAAGTGGGTAAATCTGTTTAGCATTATATTCACAGACTCCCAAACTTTCAAAACAACGACGACAGTGATGATTATTGACTAACCCCTACTTGATGTTATTTAGGAATTTGCAAAGTTTAACTCCTTCGTGCATGCATACTTAAAAGTTGTAACATAATTTTCATTTTATGTTTATGTCTTGAGGTTTCTCCTTTCTACAACTAAACTTAGAACAGGTTTCTACTGAAATGTCTCTCTAAAACGGTAATGGCTTTACCCATCACTTTAATTTAATCTTGAAAATGATGGGATTTATTAACATTTAAATTAGATTGGATTGAAATGACTTCCTTTTTTGAATTCTACTCACTCAATTTTTTTTTTTTTTTTTGTATAATCAGAATAAGTGTACGTTTTTTCGTTCTTTTAATAGTTTTGTGTTAATCACTAGTTTAAGCAGCAAAAAGATAAAATCTAATCATTTTGAATGGAAGCTTTTCAAAATACCGTATGTTTTTCTCTAGTCCCCCTGTTAACTATGCATGTCGCGAACAATTACAGTTAGATCCACATTATTTCGAAATCGAATATTCAGAATGAAACATTTCTACAAAAACTATATAAACTAATCAGTCAGTTATTTATTTACTAAATAACTAAGTTTATACTTAGATATTGTAAGACTAAGCTACTATAAGTCTCTTAAGTATAAACTGACAAAAATTGATAGAGAAGGTTATTAATCAATTACTTTTATCTCTTTTGAACAAATAGAAAAATTAAAGAAAATTTAATTTAAACGCTTCATTTGAAAGTAGTTACACTTTAACTCTTTTCGTTAGATTCATAAAATGGAAGGTGTTTTCGTTAACTTTAATTTCGAAGGAGACAAAGTAGAAAAAAATCATATGGTCATATTCAATATCGAGTATATTTTCAAATACGTCAGTCGCTCAGCTGTTGTAATTAAAAATGTTGGGCTAAGAAATTATTCAGAAAAATAAACATGAAAATTACATAACAAAACAGTAATACACACTCTATTATGGAAAAATGACAAAAACATCACTGAATACAAAAAATAATTTCAATCTATTGTCCCTTTTAAAATTGACAGGCGCTGAATGAGTAGGTATTTTTCAAGAAGTATTACTTCTAAATTGTTTAAGTTAAAATTGACGTAAAACTGTGGATTCCGGTGGAAGGGCCTTCGGCAAGCCCTTATGTGTAAAACATCATAAATAAAATAACCTACGCCCATGTTGTTACGATAACGTAAATCAACAGCGTTGCATTACACGCCAACTAATGCAATAACAAAGCCTACACAAAACACCCACCCACACACAGTACACGACAAGGGGGCAAAATGGATCCAAATGGGGAGGGCTAAGTTTAGTGTTGGTGGAATCCCTCACACTCCTTCAACGTCCACACGTCCACCCAAAATTTATTTTTTCTGGATTTCATAAGTGACATACTTTTTGGTATATTTTTTGACAAGAAAATTGTAAGAAACTGCTACCAAATCCTACGATTGGTTACAACCAAGCTCAACAATAACCACTGTCACGAAAATTTATGTCCCAAAGTAGCAAGATATACTTGAAAAATAGTTATGATGTACATGTGGCATTGCTTAAATCGTTTTTTACTTTGTTTTACGTTTTTTATATTGTGACTATTATAAATTCAAACTTGTCAGGTGGTATTATCAGTACTAAAATATTTTCATCATAATCAAATTTACTTTAAGATTAATATTAATGTAATATTAAAGTTGAAAGAAATCGTTTTACTCGAATTAGTACATATAATTCTGGTTACATTTATAATAAAAAGCCTATTTGAGGGATCACTTACAAAAATAGATTGGTCTGTAGGTCAACAGAAGTTGACTCCAAGTAGATGCTGACAACAGTAAAATTAAGGAAACGGTGAATCCTTACATCAAACGCAAGTCAAGTTCAGAAACACAGAAACACTGATTTTCACCATTTTCAAGACATATTTCAAATATTCTGAAAGTTTATAAAAAAGGTTGTCGCAATGACTTAACCTTAATTAATAACTCCTTCAATTAACGAGGTGTGTATTTTTTAGATGAACTCGCCGGTGTAATTATCCAAGTTATTGTTTCATATTAACGCCAAAGACTTCTAATTATTTTTTCTCTATTAATTATTTTCGTTCACGAAAAAACGAAAATATTTAATGATGCTCCACTTGGCTATTGAGATGAATCATAATGACTCCAAAATGGTCATGATCAATACTAATAGGGAAAGACTTGTTGGAGCTTTTCGAATCCAATTTCATGACATAAATAAAATTATTTACCATTTTTCCTTATGTTGCGTGACTTTCGCAACTATGGTTGATTTATGAAATCTACCCACATACAATTATAATTTTTGTTCGGGTGCACCAAAAGAAGATTTATCGACTTTATTTCGTATATTTTTGCCGTTAATATTCTCCTGATAAAGCTATACAATTGGATACAATTCCTGAAATCCGTCCTTCATTCTTTTTTCTTCACTTTTTAGAGGCTGTGTAAACTACGTTAATTTCACTTTCTTTACTTTCGAATGTATTATTGAGTTTGCTTAAGGATGTGTCCGATAATGAATGTTTGTTCTTTCAAATAGGTTACTGGTTTCTCGTTAATGTTACGCAGGAGATGCTGTTCCAACGACTGCAGTAAATACTTTTATTTTATCTTTAATAATCAAGCTCATATAATCTCAGTTAATTGTTAGGCACTTTACATTGCCATCGCGTTAGGTTTACAATTTGCAGTTGTTTACGTACTTATCTTTACACAATGTAACTTCACGTAAATCATTAGAGACCAATATTTCAGAAAACTTATGTCAGTTGCAGCAACCCTGAAAACACGAAAATTGAAACATCGAAAAGTTACCTCTCAAATATCATTGCAAAGTAGAAATACGGTGGAATCCACACAATGACAAAGCCAAATATACCTATTTAAAACAGATAACAAATGAAAAAAACATATTACCAGTACATCCTTAACTTCGATTTCTCCGACAATCCGTCGTCTACACAATTCGATGACAAGGTTGATACATAAGCAAAATGTCAGCTACATGAAAAATATCTTTATAAAGTAATTGTCATAAAAATCAAGGCGGCTTCATAAAGCACTAGGACAGACGGAAACGGGAAACCTATTTTTTCGTAGTCTAGGGGTCACAAAACGTCGAGAAATCATGAAAGTAACCAGTCGCACGATGGACTCGATTACATTATTTCCTTAACATACGCTCAGGGAGTAAAAGGGTTCCACAGTTTTTCAGATCAGTTTCAGTCTCAGACACCACGCTAACCACTTACCGAGAAAAAAGAAAAAGAGCTCTCCAATTTCCAGTGATATGGTTCGTTTAGTTTTGCTCTAAAATTGTCAACTTTTGTTATAAAAAAACAGACACTTGTTCCAACAAAATTTTGTCGAAATGTAATCGTAATAGATGTGTCTTTGGAAATATTTATGAAAGAGAACTTCACATTTGAAAAGCCTAGAAAGAAAAATTGTTTTTCATTGTAACAAATCTTGTGCCGAAAAGTTTGACACGACATTCAAGTTGAAACAATTTAAAGTAACGAAAACAAAAAAAAAATACCTTTACTAAAACATTCCATGTTTACTTAATATACATACATATGGAGATAACATTTACTATTTTTAAACATGTAGGATTTATCCCGTATGTTATTGTCACAGCTACAGTGACAACTTTTTAAAATCTTCAACGGTTTTTGGTACAATTAGCATCTCTTTTATTCCATTTTGATCAATTTCCCATAAACGCTCAAGCAGGTATGCAGAAATATAGTTTAGACATATTTTATGTAATGAAATGTTACTGAATCCAAATAAAAATATACAGGAAGCCTCTAGCTTACAAGTAATAAAAATCCTTTTTATAAATATTCATTGAAACACGACTCTATGTTAATAGCTCCTGCATGAAATAAAAAAAAAAGAAAATAGAGTCTGATTGTTTCATCACATTGGCATATTGCGTGCCAGGCAAAAAATTCTACATCACCATTTTCAATTCAAATAACCCTCTGAATTGGAAACGTCCATTTTTGTTGCTGCTATTGTGGTCCCACAAGCACACAGAAGTCATAATTTAAATACTGTTTGTCCTCCATTAAAATGCAGTCAGCATTGTATTCCAGCAGCAGACAATATGGCCACATATAGCAACTTTTCCCGTTGTATTGTTGTTACATTTGTGTGAGATTTTTTTACTTTTTATATGTTATAGCACTGCGTTCTTTAATGTTTCTGATTTCTGTGCTTTTTGTGACTTTCCTCAATAGTTTTGTACGCTCTTGATTTCTTCTTTCCTTCGTTTTTAAGGAACCGTGGCCCTATCAACATTTTCTATCAGCCTACAGAGTAATACGAACTTATACTTGGTTTCTTATTGGAGAATTTTATAGTAAGAATTAAAACCTGTGCGTGTATATCCAATGTAGTTTGTTACACAGACACGGTTTTCCAACTTCTTGCAATGCATTGCCACTACAAATTCTTCAGAAGTGTTAAGCTCTTAAAGTATCACCACTTTAATGAAAAATTTGAGAATAGGAACAATAATAAAATTACTTTACGTTGGTATCTGCAGTATCCATACCTGCCGAAACAGGCGCATTTGCCATCACCAAATTCTGCTCATATTTCATCCATTTGTACAATTTTAGCTATGTTAAAATAAAATAGACGGTTGTTAATAATAAATTTCTAATTTGAAAACAATCTATAAACATAATCTCATAACGTCATTATTAATTCATTAAATTGTTTACCCTTTGCTTACACAAAAGCGCCATCACCATGACTGAAAACACAGTAAAATGGCACTAACCACTTCAAAACAGCTTCTAAAATACACCAAAGCATATATTCCATGTCAGCTCGTCATACATTCCCTATGTTAAATAAATAAATAATCCAGCCTTTATGTGGCGCCATCTACAATTACGTTTTTGGGGATTCATCACGCATTTCACAGTGTAATACTAAGGATATTAAAAGCTATATAGAATTTTCTGATACAAACCTTACTTTTAATATTTAAAGTTCAAATTAATACATATACTAGGAGATTCACTACCATTATTTTTCATTTCTACTTTGCAATGTCTTCTGCAAAAGATCCTTAATAAATATTAACTTTTATTTAGTAAAACGTGTGCCTTGCTTATTTTTATCAACAGCTAAATGTCAAACAAAAAAAATTAATATTGCCCAATTTTAATGTAAAGTGTAAGAAACATTATGGAAGAAACTCCGTCCACATCAATTCAGTCAACAATTATCATACGGATCGACAATTCATTTTAAAAAAGAACTTGAAAATATTTCTCTATAAAGTTCAGCTGTATCACCAAATTCTACCAAACGTCTTTCAGCCTCGCATAAATTATTAAATTATTATTATAATTGATTTTTGAACAGTCTCAACAACGACGAAATTTTAGACATCTTTTTCACTGATAATTAATTAAATTTGGTCTTTATGTGACTATTTCAAGAAGACGTATATAACTTTTTTTTCTCACTTATATGTCAATGAAATTCTTACACCATTTGTAGAACAGCTAGATAAAGAAGAACTACACTATGAATTCTTTCAACAGGACAATACAACTGCTCATACAGCAAATCACACCTTAAATTTTTTCAACAAATGTTACAATAACAGAATGATAATTAATACGAATTTATGGTCAAGCGGGTCTCCATACTTAACTCGATTTTTCCTGTTTGTCGTACCTGAAGAATTCAAGAACTGGAAATGAGACGTGTCCGCTTATGTCTGGAAAACGATGGACAACGTTTTCAACACCATTGTAAATCAAAGTTTCGTTTATTGTTAATTCCGTTTCATTCCTTTTACGTTCTAAAAATAGTTGGATATTTAACTTTAAACTTTAATACTGCTAACTAGAAATTTAATAAATAATTAAGTATTTTAATCTAAGACAACTTTGACTATTTTTTTTGTCAATCTCTCTATACTAAAGCTTTGACATGTCTAAAATTAGAAATGCTCCAATTGAAATTTTTAACATGTCACTTTAAATATCAAATGTCACTGAAATAATATCATTCAAAATTACCTCAAAATTAAAAAATGAAAAAAACTTAAAATCTTTTAAAAAAGTTAATATTTTATTGTAACACAAGCTAAACAGATGAAACTTATATCCATCTTGATATTTATAATACAATATTCTGCACATATTCTATGGCAGCTGAAGTCTATTTGTTAATTAAATATCCACCACCTGTTGATGTAAATTTATGAAACAAAATTTCCTAAATGTTAGCTTTGTAACTGCAAAGTTCCTATAATAAGTATTAGTAATAACTGTAGGGACTTTGTTGTAATTGTATCTGTCAAGAGTGTCAAAAGACACCATTTCTATTAGCTGGACGTCTGCAGACGCATGGCACTATGACAGTTGCACTCAGGCTAGCCAAAGACCAATGAATGCCAATGTAGCGGGTAAAATCTGCGAAATTTAAAAATCCGGAATTAATCAATGCCTGTAAAGTTTTTCCTTTTAAACTGAATGTTTTAAAGTGAACAACTTACTTTTTCACTTTATTTTCTATGCTGTTTTATTAATTAAAAGTTCCAATGTCGAAATTGTTCAAACAAATTTCTTAATCGATTTTTGAGACTTCACTTGTCAAATTATGAATCTAACCTTATGTAAGAACCACACAAGTAAAAAGTTATAGCAAAACATAGCTTCTTTAGCTACATTCACATCTTGGATATGATAATAATAAATCTTTTAAAAATTGGAATTAAGAAATAAAGGCTAATCTTAAAAGTTTAATACTACTAGACGAAAATCATACAAGCGCCGCTTAACTGAGAATTTTCATTCGGAAATAATTGCATTCGTCAATCTAATAAAAAAAACATTCTATTTACTGCTCCCTTTTCGAAGGAATGAAACTGAGAACGGAAATAAGGATAACTAGGTTTTGCTCGTTTAAATAACCAAATAAACCATATAATGTAAGAGAATTAGCGTTACGAGGTTTTCCGTATATTTTCTTATATTGTGCGTTTCTTTATTGATATATTAAGGTAAATCACCAAATCAATCAAATTTCTAATCTGAAGCAGATGTCTTAAATAAGTATACCACAGTACATTGTGGGGGAAATGCCTGCACCCACTATAGAAAATTTAGTTGAATAAATCGTACACCGCAAGAAGTATTCATGAAATGAGATATTTTAAGCTTTTATAGTATGTTCAGCGAAATAATGAAACGGAAATGTGGTGTTTTTTTCACTTTTTACCAGTTTAAATGATTTAAAGGGTCAAATAAACTTCCATGACATATTAATTTCATAAAAGACGTTTATTCTGCAATTTCTGTCCCTGCAAAGTGCGTTGTGTCATGCATTTTAAAAAGCATGGGGAATTCCTATTACGATGGACAGAGTAAAATTGCGTTCAGTTAAATGACCATAATGTAACGATTACATTTTATGCAGCTTTTTTTTTTTTTTTTTTTTTTTTTATTTGTACATTTGGTCGCATCGACAGCTAGGTCATTAGCAACCTTACATGGTAGGGAAAACACACTTAGTAAAAAGAAAAATCCTTCTATATGCATTCAAACAGCTTAATATGTTTAAGGAACAGAAGGATGTTGACCACGTTCGGGATGGTACTTCCTAGCGCTTCGGCGAGGTTGGGTGATATTTGGAAATGGTTGCGTTGGGTTTGCCAGTGGGGACAATCGCAGATGAGATGCTGGACAGTTTGACGGCATCCGCATTGCTGGCAAGTAGCTGGGGAGGTGCGGTTGAGCAGGTATCCATGGATGAGCCGAGTGTGTCCTAATCGCAACCGCGTTAAAACGACTTGATCACGACGATCTGGCGGAAGTGGAAGTATACAGTTAACTTCTGGCTTAATCTGCTGCAATGCTGTAGGCGTAGAGGTCCAGTCTGTTTGCCACTTTTGAATGATAGCCTGTTTAAATAAACTTTTGGCGTCAGGTGCTGGGACTAACAAAATTTCTGCGGCAGATTCCGATTCGACTGCTTCTTTAGCAGCCCTGTCAGCTTCTTCGTTTCCCGATATGCCAGTGTGAGATGGAACAAAGATGAAACGGACGGTTTTGCCGCTATTGGAGAGCATGGTCCACACTTCAAAAATTTGCATGATCAACGGATTGGTTGAATAAATATTTCGCAGTGCGCTTAGACTGGCTAAAGAGTCGGTACAAATGCAGTATTTAGAGGCGCTCATCGTGGTGATAATCTTGCAGGCTTGGAGGAGAGCGTAGAGTTCGCCCGTGAACACACTAGCTGGAGATGGTAGCCGTAATAGTCGGCGTACGGAAGGCCCAACGACGGCTGAACCGACGACGCCTGTGACTGATTTCGAAGCGTCCGTGTATAGAAAAGTCGAATCTGAGCAGGTTGCTTGTAAGGTATGAAATTCTGTCTGGATCACTGAAGCGGGTGTATTAGTTTTGGTGAACTGGAGGAGAGTGGTGTCTGGTCGAAGAGATGGAATTAGCCAGGGCGGGGGTGTAGCGAACTCGTATGGAAGAATAGCGGGGAAGGACGGTATTCCGAGAGTTACCAGATCTTGTTGAAGGCGAATTGAGATGGGTGGGATTAGGTGTCGTTTGCGATCAAATAGTATAGTCAGGCGATCGGTAAATACATGCTGGAGGACAGGATTGCTGGGATTTCTAGAGGTATTAGCTGCGAAGGATAACTGAAGGTACTTGAAACGGAAAAGAAGAGGCGGTTCCTTTGCTATGCTATAGAGGCTGATAACTGGGCTTGTGCGGAAGGCCCCAAGGGCTATTCGTAATGCAGAATTCTGAAGAGTGATTAGAGGTGTAAGGAGCCTGGGACTGCATGCTGAGTAGGCCACTGCTCCATAATCAAGTTTGGGTCGTAGTAATGTTCTGTAGATACGAAGGAGGATTTGGGTGTCGGCTCCCCAAATAGGATGAGAGAGGACTTTCAGAAGGTCTACAATTTTTAGACAGGTAGCCTTTAAGTGATCTATATGCGGTTTCCATGAGAGGTGCTGATCAAAAACCACTCCTAGGAACTTGGCTTGAGGAACATAGTCAAGATTTATTCCCTGAAGCTGGAGGGGTGGAGGTAATTGCCCGCTTTTCTGCGAGAAACAGACACATTTCGTTTTTTCGGCTGAAAATCGAACTCCGTTATTTTCGGACCAGGCCTGGACAGTGTGTATGGCTCTTTGGAGTAGACTGGTTATTGATTGGAGTTCCTTTCCTTTTATGTAGAGGATGAGATCGTCAGCAAAGAGGCCACCTTTTACAGGGTGGTTTACATCCTTGAGAATATCATTGATTGCTATGAGAAAGAGAGTCACACTAAGGACGGAGCCCTGAGGGATGCCGTTTTGTAAGTTCTTTTTTCTCGATAACGTGTTGTTTACCCTTACTGAAAAAGTACGGTTGTGTAAGAAGTTAAAAACAAAAAAAATAAATGTTTCCAGTGAGTTCCCATCGAAGAAGTTGGTCTAAGATTTTATGCCGCCAAGTCATATCATAGGCTTTTTCAATGTCAAAAAAAAACAGCCAGAACTTTGTGTCTATTAGCGAAAGCTTCGCGAATTTCAGATTCGAGATTAATAATGTTGTCGGCTGTGGAACGAAGCTTTCTAAAGCCACTTTGATGGATGTTTAAAAGATGTTCCTTTTCTAGATACCATACAAGTCTCCGGTTTATCATTTTCTCCATGAGTTTACACATTGTGCAAGTAAGAGAAATGGGCCGGTATGAGTTAACATCGAATTTAGGTTTGTTGGGTTTTAAGATTGGAATAATAATAGCTTCTGACCAGAGCTCAGGAAAGGAATGGCCAGTCCAGATGTCGTTGTAAAGATTTAGGAGGATAACTTTTCCGGTGCAAGGAAGATTTTGGAGAAAGATGAAAGGTATGTCATCTGGACCTGCAGCAGAATTGGGACAAGCTTGAAGTGCATTCTCTAGTTCTTCCAGGGAAAAAATATTGTTGAGTGGGTGGACTGAATCGATTTGGGGGGGCGCAAAAGACGATTCCACTTGGTTTTTGTGGGATAAAAAGGCGGGGGTGCAGTTTGCATTGCTTGAGGCCGTCTCGAATTTTTGTGCAAGAAGATTTGCTATGCCTTGATTGTCATCAATAACAGAACCGTGAGAAATTATCTGCGCAGGACCCGGTTGATAAGTATTACCCTTAATACGTTTAATTCTGTCCCATACTACCTTGGTAGGAGTATTGCTGTGAAGGGTGGAAACAAAGCTCATCCAGGAGTTTTGTTTGGCTCTTTTGATGATAAGACGTGTTTGTGCACGGAGTTTTTTGAATTCAATAAAAGAGTCTTGTGATTTTTTACGTTTCCAAACATTGAAGGCTCTTTTGCTTTTTCGCAATGCTTCTGCACATTCTACGTTCCACCAAGGGACAGTTTTTCTTGGTATTAATTTGGTCTTTCCAATATGGTTATGAGCGGCACTGACTATAAGGTGATTGAGTTGAGATAGAACACTCTCTGGACTCATGTTAGTATTTAACGACCCTAAATTTTGATCGATTTCAGCTTGATATTCATTCCAATTAGCCCTCAGGAGATTCCATCTAGACTTAAACTGACCAACTGCAATATTCGGATTTGAAGGTTGTGAGAGCAGGTCCAACTTAATTGGCAAGTGATCACTTCCATATAGATATGAGTAAGGGCTCCAACTGAATATATGAGCCAAAGAGGGGTCACAAAATGCTAGATCTAAGGCCGACGTAGTGCCTGTAGCTATGTTGATTCTAGTGGCCTGTCCAGTATTTAAAAGGACCATGTTGGTGGAGCCAAGGAAGTCCTCAACTATTGTGCCTTTTGAAGATGTTGTGATAGAACCCCAGAGAATGTTATGTGCATTGAAGTCTCCTACAATGATGCACGGGTGGGGTAGTTGCTGATAAATATTTTCTAATTCCTCGAGAGAAAATGTCGTTGAAGGTGACAAATATATGTTACAGATTGAGAATGACTGCTTGAGTGTCACTTCAATCGCAATCGCCTCAAGACGAGTTTGTAGTGGAATTTGCATTGCCTGATAGGAAGAATCTACGTATATAGCCACTCCACCACTAGCTATAGAACTCAGCAATCTGTTTTTATAAAAACAAGTATATTCTTTATGGCAGTAGTAATGGTTGTTTTTAAAATTAGTTTCCTGTAAGCACATGATAGAAGGACGACATTCAGACATTAAAACTTGCAATTGAGGAAGGCGGGTATAAAACCCGTTTAAATTCCATTGTAATATGAATGGGCTATGAGAAACTTAAAATGTCTGGGATGAATCGGTTGCTTCGCCGTCATCATCTGAGGGATTAACTAGTGGGTTTAATTTCTTCCGAATCTTAGTGAAACGGGTTTTCATCGTACGATTTGTCAGATGTGGATATAGTTGGTAAAGCATATCTATTAGTTTTGCTATGTCTTGAGTAAATTCTTTAGCTACTGCTATTGGGTCTGCGGAGCCGGTTACATTTTCCAAAAAGATTTGAAGTTGATCGTAGGATAAAATGAATTGGTCTGGATTCTCTTGCATAATTGGTTTCAATGGTTGAAGATGTTCAGCTATTTTGCTCAAATTTCCATTATCTGAAGTTAGACTATCAGAAGATAAACTTTTCTTGATTTTTTTGGACTGTTGAGCTGGCCTTGTGGGTTTTAAAAATTCTGGAGCAGTATTTAATTGGGATGCATTGAGGCCTTGGAAAGGTGGACTAGAAATATCTTCCACTGGCGACCAAGATAAAGAGTCAGCTGCCCGTTTGTTAGGAGGCTGAGGGACAGTGTTAACTGCATCACTGGTGTCCATAATTCTTTGGAAGACAGAGGTAGCAGGTGCAAGGGTATTTAATGCTGGCAGGGGATCCTTTGCTAGACTAGGAGGGTTGAGCGGACTTTCGACAGAGCCTGCGTTACTTGACATCTGCCCTTCTTGCGAATTTTCTGGGACAACCGAGGTAGCTGTTTCTTGGGGGATGTTATTAGGACATGTGTTAGCTATGTGCCCAGCAACTTTACAGGAGAAGCAAACCAATTCGTCATACGATGTGAATATTCGGTAAGTCGTCTCATCGAAGTTAATGAGTATGGATGATGGAAGCTCTACTGTATCATTCGTACTGACATAAACATGTCTTCTGAAGCTTAAAATGTGAGCAAACTGATCGCCCGGGATGCCTGCCCTTAAGAAGGCCATACGAGACATTAATTTAAAGCCCAGCCGTTCCACAGAGTTTTCCAAAAGTTCATGGGGTATGGAGGGGCAGACATTAGAGAGTATTATGCGGCGAGTCGGAGTTATTAAGCGCCGAATATTTAAGGTTTGGTCGTTGATTTTAATATTTGAATGATTGGCGACAAGATCATCAACAATGTTTGTGCTCGAAAAGTAGATACATATACGATTGTTGGACATACGGGAGGCAAAAAGAATAGTTTTGGGATCAACGATGTTGGCCAGAGCAGTAACATAATCACCCAGTTTAGTTTCTTCTATAGCGTTAGTAATTATGGCCTGTTCTTTACTCGGGAATGTGTTTTGAACAATAGGTGAGCGTGGGGGCCTTCCCCTGTACTCAGGAGATGCCATATTAAGAAAAATTAAGTGAAGTGTGTACTATCCGATGCAGTTAGTTCTGAGATATCTCATTATGATTGAGGACGGCCTGCTTGTGTGGCAAGCGCCAACTGATATCGCCACTGCCGGAGATAAGTTTTTGCTGTATAGCAAAATCTTGCGATAGAGGAACGAAGGATTTATGGGTTTGTAGTTATAGGTTACTAGTACAGAAGGATTCAGGGTTTTCTTACGGACAAATTGGGTGAGCACCCGCTTCTCAAATTTGATAAGGCAAGATTGCCTCGAACTCTTCTATGATTGAATCTGATGTTGTGAACTGCCAGTTTAGGGGACACTGCGAACAATGCAACCAGCCACTGTCACGCCACTTTTCAAACTCCAGCTTTTTTTTGGAGAAGAGAATAATTTCACTAAGATTAATGAAGAAATATTTACTCATTTCTGATATTATATAAATATATACATTATCAATAAGAAACAATCACCACAAACTAATTCGATTTATATTTAATTTGTGCCTTATCAGAGAATTCACTGCTGTCAATAGTCGTTTTTATTTATGGGGGTACAAACATAAACTTCCACTTCTGCTATAACTTCTATTGTGCCAAGATGAATTTCTGATGGGACCGTAGAGAATACTCTACCGTGTTCCGGGTAAACCGCTTATTACTCTAATTACCTAAACACAACAGGGTATTGTGTTATTTTATGTTAATAGTAGGTTTAATTACGTGCGACAAAGTTTCAGAGGGATTGATTTTTAAATCAGCACAAGACGCAATTTCATAAAATAAAACAAATCAGGAAACTGCAAAGAAAGTTTTTCAATAAAACTTATTATTGAAAGAAAATCTTTATTACGCTGTCGCAACAAAAATGAGTGCATAAAAAGTGTTTGCCATTGTTTCCTAAAGCTCACTTTTTTAATTTTGAATTAAACGCAAATATGAGTGCTTATGCAATTTGTTCAAGAACTGATTGATTTTCTTAATCAAAACTATTGATTAACTATAAGTTGATTATAAAAGATGGTACTTGTAGTGCTTAATGATAATTGATTATTATCACTCGTCGCTTGTCACAAATGTTCATCATTTGCTTAAGTTTTTCCATAATTACCGTAATTAATTAATTGATTATTAAAGTAAAACGACTTACTGATATTACAAAAGGTAAAGACTCTTACGTAACACAAATCTGAATAAATATATTTCGACATTAAAGATTTAATATTGATCTAACTTTAAAATTTATTAAATCTTTTCCTGCGGAAAACTAATGACATTATCCCAAAAAATTATTCAACAAATCTTATCTATGCATACGCAGGATATTTTAAATAAGCTACCATACGAACCGATTCGGTTTATCGATTGTTTCAAGCATGGCTCATCCAATTTCCCTGAAATTCAGAAAACACAGTAACGTTTATGTCATGTTACATCGGCTGTGGATACCTTTCAAAGTGAATATGTTTATTCTCACTGAAAAACAGCTGACATCGTTTCAGAAAGTTATTTTTCAAATACATGTTATTAATTTTTTTCTGTGTAGAGCAAAACCTTCAACCTGCGAAAAAGATATATTTTCTGTAAATTTCTTCAGTTCCTTTAACTTATAAAAGTAAACATATAAAATCATTTATTTAATTTTATTAAATAATTTAGTACTTTTTGATTTTATACACTTCATCAAGAATGCAAAACTTGCACTGTCCCTAATTTTCTGTTAATTGCAATTGGTTCTGTTATAGTTTAAACAGAAAATATCGAACGTTGCCTGCTCGGTGCTTTTTAATCGGAAAATGTTAACTTATATCTTCAATAAATTTACGCACGCTACAAGTGCTACATAACCGTAAACACATTATAATAATACCACCACGAGTACTCAATTTTAATTCCCATTTTCAAACCTTGTTATACCCGTTGTTGCTAAAGGCAAATAAAAACAACCACAACATTATAATGACCTTGCTGAAGTAAACACTACATAAAGCTAACCTTTATGATGAATTTCTCCTTTATGCTTAAAACGTTGACCGCTTAATGTGTAAATGTCACTGATTTGCTACTCAGTTTCTAATCAAACTGAGGAATAACTAAAACAAAACCTTATAAAAGTATGTTCCAATATCACAGCATTCGATTGATTTTATTATTTTCAGTTATGCAGGGTCGGTTTCAGGTTTCCGTGCACCCTAAAGCGCGACATAAAAAAGTGCACATTCTTTCTCTCCCTAAAATAAATAAAACCAGGTCCCATGTTATTAGTATCGAACCTGATTTCCTCTTCAATGTAATCAAGAGTACGTATGTAATTTCCAATAAAGATCTATTCAGAAATCCGCTGAGACGTCCTCAATTTTCGTACATTAAAAGACTAATAAGTCTCCTACAAAAATTTACAATTTCTGAGATACATTTTAAGAATTGTACAAACATTTTTCTGTGACAGTTCGCAGACAAATAAACATAAATCAAAAAACATTCTTTTAGTTATCGTCGAAGAAGAAAAGAAATTAGTAGAATCAATTAAGAATGTTTTGTTCCCGAGCGTAAGCTAATTTCATGTTTTTTCGAAGTTTCGTGTTTATAAAATGAAGAAGTAAATTTCCGGTTTCCGTGTGTCTGTTTGTTTGTCATCTGCCTATGTCTACTGGTGATATTATTAAACAAGTAATCTGCTAAAGTCCTGGATAAATTATATGTAGTGTAACCTTAGGTGAACTTTAGGATTACCCTGTATACAGTAAATCCTATTTAAAATGTGTAAAATAGTATGCTTCTGTTTAAGTGGTTTATTGTTCATCCTTATTTCTAAGCCATACACGTATATTTCTGGAAAAATTTTAGAACTGCTCAACAAAATTTTGCGACTTAAATATGTTAGAAACTGCAAATTTAATTGTGTATACGATTTGAACATGAACACAACAATAATATCTA